CTCTCCCCAAGTTTCATTTTATTACATATTTTCTCTTGACCAGTCAGTAAACTCAGTTGATGATTAACCTGCCTCAAAATAATCCGTTAACAAAATTACAAGTAAATCTCATTATTGGATTCTTGACACATCTGCTTGTTCAGTGAAGGCTCCTTTCTCTTCCCTCTATTTCCCTGTCTTTATATTTTCTATCAATTGCATTTTATCTCTTTTTTTTTCTGTGTTGCTTCCTAGTTTGTGATTTTTTGCTGATTTTTTAAATTTCCTATGTAATTCATCCAATTTGTCATAGTACAGTTTCTTATAACTGCTTCTTAGCCTATACTTTTTCTTCATTTGTCACATTTTTATTTTTCATCTATTGTATTTTCATACAGTTTTGGAAAGTTTTACGAATAGACTTTTTAAAAAAAATGTGTGCAATTTTTTTTTAATTTTTTATTGCATTTTAGGTTTTGGGATACATGAGCAGAACATGCAAGACAGTTGCATAGGTACACACATGGCAGTGTGTTTTGCTTCCTTTTTCCCATTCACCCACATTTGGCATTTCTCCCCAGGCTATCCCTCCCCACCTCCCCCTCCCACTGGCCCTCCCCTTTTCCCCCCAATAGACCCCAGTGTTTAGTACTCCCCTCCCTGTGTCCATGTGTTCTCATTTTTCATCACCCGCCTATGAGTGAGAATATGCGGTGTTTCATTTTCTGTCCTTGTGTCAGTTTGCTGAGAATGATGTTCTCCAGATTCATCCATGTCCCTACAAATGACACAGACTCATCATTTCTGATTGCTGCATAATATTCTATGGTGTATATGTGCCACAAAAAAATGTATGCAATGTTTTTATATAAAAGTTAGTGGTTTCTTTTTCTTATATCCTTCACTGTATAAAAATAAAATTGTAGCAATTCTTTCTTTGCCTGTATTTCCTCTTTCCTTCCCCCAAATTTGAGCAGACTTGAAGGACTTACATATATTACAGTGCTATTTTCTATAATTTAGGAATACCTTTTGACTTAAAAAGCAGAAGAAGAGTTGAAAATGATACAATAATTCTACATGTCCCCTCTGCTTCCTTGTCCTCTGCACATGTTTCTAACCTACCCTTTCTTTTTACTCTGTCTGTTTCATATACCTTTGTCTCCAGAATTTTTGATTCACTAGTCTTAGAGTGGAATTCTGGGCTCTTATATTTTGAAAATCTCCCCATGGGAATTAGATATGCACTTCTTATTAAGAATGAATGCTTTAATATTGGAATCAAAACACAATAAGCTTTCTAACTATGATAAATAATCCAACAGACTTAATTATGATTTTCTTTTTGTCCAGAACTAAGACTAGATGTTAATTGCCAGAGAAATAGATAAGAATGCCTATGACAACAGTACATTAATATGATATCAAAGTTTGGAAATTTTATTGGCAATGAATAATTCAGTACTTAAAATATTTAGAAGCTATAGAATTAAAATTAATTAATGTCATTCACTGGGTGAAAAAAGTTGATTGAGATTTTACATTTAATTTTGTAAATGCAATGTTATCTTTTCCAGCTCAGAAAACACCATGTACAAATTATTACTTTCTGTTTTGATCCCGTATTTTTCTCCCTTATGCTTTATCACTGAGAACTCTCCTTGAGCAGGCCATGCACTGGAAATATTTCTCCTGGTTGCAAAACCTTCTCATACAAATACAGTAGACGATTTAATGAGCTCTACTTTCACAAAATTAAGAAACGTGAAAGCCCTGATTAGAGATTCTATATAAATGAGATTGAGATCTAACAATCTTAAATTATTGGTTCACTCTTAGCTATTCAATTCTGTCTCTTATTTGGGCAACCAAAATAATAAAACCATTGTTGATTCTACAATTAGGTTGTAAAAGTCACTGTAGCCATCAGCCGTGAAGCAAAAGGGCCAAGATCAAAACTACAAAGCAAAGAGGCTAAGATAAAAATGCTGCAGCAGCTTTAGTTTATAGCATTATAAGCAGCAATAAGAATATCTTGATTACTTAACAAAGACTCAAAAGGTCCATTACCTGACAACTCAAAATGGTATTCCTGGACCAGCAGTATTGGCATCCTTTTGAAGTTTGTAAGAAATAAAGAATTTTGGTGCCTCCACAGACGTACTGAAGCAGCACTTGCAGTTAAACAAGATCCCCAGGAAATTCTTATGCACATTAAAATCTAAGAAGTACCACTATGGTACACATCTGATTCTGATGTGGGCCCATGCATTTTTTTAGAGGATGAAGTAATAGTTGTAAGTATTGGACTCTATTGAAGGAAAAAATAGGAGCCTTGATCTTTACCCTCTACCTTCTGGACATCTATGTTTTAGGCAATTTTTTTCCCCAATTCAGTAGTCACTGATGCTTGCATGATTCAGTTTAGCAAACAATGGTGATTCTTATGTAATAGTTCACGTTGCCCGAATAGTTTATGTTGCCTCAAGTTCTCTGCCCAGGCCCCAAAATAAAGCAAGGGCTGTACTCTTTTCTTAACTCCTCCTCTTACACAGTGTCATAGAGCCCAATTTTATGCTCCTTGTCAGATCATGGAGATTACACATCACAGGTCTTAACTTCTCCCACACTCTCCCTGCTCCTAACTCTCCATATGCCTAAGTACTACCATTCTTTAAATTCCAAATTCACCCAGAAATCGCTTCTGCTCATCCTTTTTGCTGACATCATCCCTCTTCTGACCTACCATTTATTGATCACCTTGCTTTTTTATCCTGCTGTATGTAGTATAACAAATTATCACTTACAACTGTGTCTTATCTTTTCAGCTAGATTTTATACTGCCTAAAACCTAGAAAATTATGCTTATTTATTTGAATCTTTAGGATGATAAGTAATAAGTATTAATACTAATGACACCATGGTGATGATGAGCCTGAACTTCCTCCTTTCCTTTCTTGTCCTCTCTCCTTTCCTCCCTTCTTTTCTTCCTCCAACCATTTCTTTCTCCCTCCATTTCTTTCCCACTTCTCTTATTCGTAAATTCATACATTACTCAGCAAACACTTATTGAAACCTTCCATGCAGCAAACATGGTAGTAAACAATAGGAAACAATTATGAAAAAGACACAATATCTGACCTCAAAGAATTTATGATATAAAAGTAATGGCAAAAAACATGATTACTTTTGCACCAACCTAATATATAGACACAGTTTGTTATGACTGGTGTCTCTATTACTAAGCAGTGACTGTCACATGCAACACTGATCTGAACAGGTGGTAAAGAGTGAGATGTAAGCAATGGAGCAAAGCCAACTAGTTACAAGGCAATATCACATGTTTACTAGAGCACATCTCATGGGCATTCAAGAGAGTATGGCCAGGACAGCACGTGGATAGTTCAGTAACTATGCATAGTTTTATATTCATTGTGAGGTACTGTGTCGCTGGAATAATGACCTTGTTATCACTTTTGCTGATTTACAGACTATTTTAGTTGCTAAAAGTAAGATACCAAAATTTCTATTATTCAAAAATAATTTTGCTTGAATGTAGTAAAAACAAAAATAAGCCAAGAACTGTTTGTGAAATGCGAGTCTAAGGCAGATTTACCTCAGTCTCAGAAAACATGCATTCATTTCTTCATTTAGCAACATGTACTGGGGTCTACTATAAGCTTGGTATTGTGTCAAGGAGTAGGAGAATATAAAAATATAAGAGAATTTGAATCACATCTATTAGGAGAGTGTTCTACATATTGACAGTGTTCTGTCAGTATCATAAGGTTTTGAGTCCTTTAGATTTAAATATGGTAGGTTCTCAAGTTCTCAGATATTATTTCGTTTTCTAAGGTTTATATTTAGTTAATGTGCTATTTTAGTTGCCTTACAAATTCTAGATTATCTTTTTTTTTTTGAGACAGAATCTCACTTTGTTTCCCAGGCTGGAGTGCAATGGCTCAATCTCGTTTGACTGCAACCTCCGCCTCCCAGGTTCAAGTGATTCTCCTGCCTCAGCCTCCTGAGTAGCTGGGATTACAGGCACCCACGTCCATGCCAGGCTAATTTTTGAATTTTTTAGTAGAAATGGGGTTTTACCATGTTGGTCAGGCTGGTCTCGAACTCCTGACCTCATGATCCACCTACCTCAGCCTCCCAAAGTGTTAAGATTACCGATGTGAGCCACAGTGCCCAACCTAGATTATCTTTTTTTTTAAGTTAAACAGAACATAATTGCCATTTTTATTTAATGGTAAAAAGCCTTTTTGTTTTATGTTCTCCTTTTCAATGGAACTATTTTTCTGATAGTTTTAAAATTTCATTCAGGATAAAAAGTAAACAATATTTAAGCTTCACAATCATAAAAATGTTCTGGTAACTATAGATTATTTTAAAATTTATTACTGTACCTTAGGGATATCTTGATGGGATACTCCTGAAAGCAATTAATTCTCAGTTTTATGTGGCTTATAATGTAAAATATATTGATACAGATAGAATTTGATATAAATTTCCTTCTAATAGAGCAATTATTTTTATTTAAATATCTCTAGAGGGTTTTTAAAATACTCTGCTTAAACTATGTTTGTTCTTTTTCACCTCTCATATCCACAATCACTAGGAAACCCAAATACTTTGTTCATGTTTAAATTTTACAACATTTCATAGACTATTAAACAGGGAACATCCTTGTGGGGACAAGAAATTGAATTTACTCTTGAGAAGTTTTCCAACTTATTGATTTGTAGGACATTATAACATCCTCTAGCTGACAAGCTTACAAAAATAAAAACTGGAGCTAACCGAGAGGGTGCTTTTTCCCTGACACATAAAAGGTGTCTGTCTGTCTTGTATCCTTTGGATATGGGCATGTCAGTTTCATAGAGAAATTTTCACATGGAGCTTATATATTTCTTTCCCTCCCTGTACAACTGCATGTTGTAGCACATTTTTTAATCTTTCCTCAAATAAAAATACACGGGGCTTCATTTTTGTTTTGCCTTTTTGGTATCTTACAGGAACTCCAGGATGGCATCGGGCAGAGGCAAACTGTTGTCAGAACATTGAATGCAACTGGGGAAGAAATAATTCAGCAGTCCTCAAAAATAGATGCCAGTATTCTACAGGAAAAATTGGGAAGCCTAAATCTACGGTGGCAGGAGGTCTGCAAACAGCTGTCAGAAAGAAAAAAGAGGTAGGATGACAAATCAAATAGAAACTATAACATTTTAGCAGAGCTTTTTAAGCTGTCCTTAAACAAATATTTCCTGAGAGATTATAAGCAGAGTGAAAGACACTAACATTAAGGAACCCATCAATCATTAATCAGCAGCAGTAATTTTTATTTTATTTTATTTTCAGATACTAAAATATACACTTGTTGCTAGTTAGTGCTTTTCTGCTATTTGAAACTTCAAGTTTGTTTTAAAAATATCACATGATTGCTTAAAGTGAACGTCGTCGATATATTTTAACTTCAACAAGTTGAATCTCAGTTATTTTTCAAGATTTTAAAAAGCAATACTAAATGATTGTTTTGTAGGAAAGACAGATCTTTGCTTAGTTTTAAAAACAGCTATGAATATGGCTGTGAAGCTAAAAAAAAGAGATAGTGATATTTACCTGTAGTTTCACCACATTTGGGAATATATTATTGAAGGGGAGCTTGAGCCAAAAATGTTCAAGTTTAATGGGGAAAACAAAACCCCAAAAAGGTTACTGTCAAATGTAATCATCATTAAATTTCCCTTGGAATGTATTGAAGGCACAGAAAACCAAGGTGTGCTGCTGCAGTTGGAAAGCATACATAGTTTATAAATGGGATTTTGCATTATGCTTCCAGTTGTTGATGTCAATGTGTCTTATTTCATAAGGGAAGACTTGGCCTTTATTTACCAAGTTATATAATTGTTGTGAACAATGAAGACGTCGTTCTATTGCCAAGCTCTTGCATCCCACCTATCATCCACATAATACATGGATTTTAATATTCAGGAAGCTAGAACAACTCATTGGTGAATATCTTTTGTTAAGATGTATTAAAAAGAAGATTTTGGAATTATGGCATTTGTCTTTGCCCACCTCCTCTTTCCCTCTTTATTCATGTTACATTATTCAGAAAGTAGATACAATTCACATTTTGTACAAAAGAAACACATTAGTTGACCTAAACACACACACACACACACACACACACACACACACACACACCCTGTGCCAAAGTTAAAGGATAATAGCCTCTCGAAAATCATTTTTATTAAATCTTGGTTTTGAAAATCTTTTTGATTATAGATAGATAAAAGGAAGAACTAAAGTTTGTAGTTAAACTACTTTATCCCAGATTGAAATTCTTCTATTAATCAAACTAGTCATCCATTATCTAAATAACTGATGTGCTTATACAATGAACAAGTATAAACCTGTATAATGTTACTTCTGAACTAGGCTCAATCTAATCTAAAGATGGTAAGAAATAAGAAAATTTTAAAAAATTGGATACCATAATATATATATATATATATATATATATATATATATATATATATGCATACACACACACACACACATATATAACTCATAAAAAGGATTAAACTTATTGGAAGATTATTTTTATATAATATATAAAGTATAAAATATATACTTAAAATATATAAAGTATTGTTTCCTATTTTAAAATGTCTTGCTCATATAGTATTTGAATAGTGCATATTAATATTCTCTCTGATAACTCTCATTCACTTGAATTTTCAAAATCTTTTTATCTGTTATTGGGCTCTAAAGACACATTATAATTTGTAATAAAGATGTAGCAATGTTCCAGTTTCACCAAATAAGCTCTAAAATGTTTAGATCTTTCTAAGTTTATTAGAAAGTAGTATACACTGACTCTGTTGTGAATTATTATACAAATTTTAGGTTAATTACAGCTAAGAATTTGGCTGTGATTAGAAAAAAATTTTCCCATTTAAACACGTTGACCTACATTAAATATTGCACTTTGTGCTTTAAAAAGTCAAGATCAGCTTCCTTGAGTTTTTTTTTTAACTCAGCTTTTAAAGTTGTCTATTTCACGCTACATTTTAAAATAAATGTTAACATATTTAAATTTCCACTGAGATCACTTTTGTGTCATACTTCCTCAGGATTTTTATATCATTTAAATTTTATGAAATGTAAAAAGGTATTGAAATATAAGTGCTGGTTCTACCAATATACTCATAGCTATTTCCAAGGATCCAGTAGCAAATCAAGTAAAAATAAATAAAATAATATTTTATAAAGAGTATGTTAACCTCACAATTATAGGAGGGCTTTTGTCATTGAAACTATTTCTAATCAATGGCATAGTCTCAGTTCAACCCAAGCAGAAGTTAGAAGGAAACAGAAGTTATTTATTGCACAGGTGAAAAATAAGATAAATGACAGTCAACATTTTAATAAGATTTCCAAGTGATTCACATACACATTAAAGTTTGAGAAGCATTGCCTTGGGTAAGCAAGCTTTGTTCTCAGTTTGCAACAGCTGTCCCACTTTGTTCATTTATACTAATTGTATTTTCATAGATATTTGAATCTGTATACCTCATACAGACCTTTGTAAGATTATGATGGTTAGGGTGGTGGTGGCGGTGATGGTGGTGACAATATTGTCAGGCACTGTTCCAAGTATTTTACGTAGCTCAATACTTGTAACAACTCTATGAAATAGTTGCTATTCTCCTTTTAATTTTACAAGAAGGCAATGAGGGCACAGATTGATAAAACTCTTTGCCTAAGATTGGTCAGCGAGCAGGTATTTGAACCAGGATTCAGTTCCACAGACTGACTCCAGAGTCCTTACTCTAGATCATATTTTGCATTATTTATCTCAGTTTTGTCCTTTAGGATTCTCTGGTTTATACTTATAGCTTCTTCCCACCAACCTTCCACTTACCTTTGATGGCCACACGTAGTAGCAAAAGAATTGGATATAGAATCTGTTCTGACTTCTTTTCCCAGCTATGTTTTCTATCATTTCCACTATTTCCATTTAGGTCTGAAGCTTTGAATGACCTGAACTTTTCTGTGCTTCATCTTTCTTTGGTTGAATTCCCTTTCCCCTTATTTTTTTTCTCAAAATCTTACACATCCCTCAAGACTCATCTTAAGTGCTATTACCTCAGTGAATGTGACCTGCTCTTCTCATACATAAGCAGTTTATTCTCTTAAGGTTTTCTTGCCCCCCTTTTTTATAATACTCACGTAATATTTTATGTATCTCTCATGTATCATTCCTATTGATATATGCTTTTCCCCAGCAAGATTAAAAGTTTCATGAGAGCAGAGAACTTTCTTATGGTTATCTCTATAACGCACAGTACTTAACAGAAATCCTGATATATCGTAGATGGCCAGTAAGTACTTTCATAATTTAAATGGTAAGAATTTTATTCACATTCAGATTAAACTGAAGATTTACATCTTTACAGCTGAAATTATTATATAGGTTAAAAATAGATCTAAAGGGCCAGACAAATTTTTATGTTTTTATCATGTTATCACATATCCATGGGTACCTTTGCAATTCTAGAAATTGACCTTGATTCTTTCTAGTCTTAAAAAAATGGAAAGAATTTGGTTAATAATGTTTTAGGTGTTCTTCAGGATTTAATACATTTAAGATACAAGCGACTTCAATTTCTTTAGCTACTTATAGCAAAAAGCAGCTTTTTGATTTAAACAACTTGTACATTTTTTTAACTCAAGTTTTACCATATTCTAATAAATTTTAAGTGAACTAAGTAGGAATTAGCCCTGAAACTGAATTTGGCCTCATTCTACATAGAGCCACGAGATGTTCTAGATGCAATACATATCACCAAAGAACTATTTTTAGATTGATCAGAGAGAATCATACAGATATTATTATTCACAGGTGTCTATGGAAAAGCTGGTCTCTTCCCATCTGTTCTCTGATGACTCTTGAAAAGCTTTCAAGGACATTCATAATTCTTCATCAAAAGGCTATGAAAAATCAGCTTCATAGTTAATTGTTTTATGTCATATTCTATTTTTTCAACTTGGCTAGTTCTAATGAAACTGACTAGCTGGCACCAAATACGTTGTTGCATTGGCTGATACTAACGATACCACTGTGTGGATATATACAAGTGAATGCACTTTATTCGTCGCCTTCCATGAACTTTCATGTGCCTGGGAAAGTAGGAGATGGGGAGAGTTTGTAGGAAACATGATCTCTGGGATGGGCCTTAAAGGATGAGAGGGAGCAAATGAAGAATAAATGGACATGCCAGAGAGAAAAAGTGACAGGAGCAAAATCACTGAAGCCAGAAAAATGGTCTACATTGAAGGACTATACACAGTTCAATATAAAAAAGCTTTCTTAGAAAAGCAAGCATCATTAAATTACCCTACACTCTTCATTTTCTACGTATAAACTGCCCAATTCCCAATCCAAACTTAATTATGAATACGACCAACCTGTAGATGTTTTTGAAAGATATTCAAGTGTCCTTTCTTGTACCATGTACTTTGGCTCCCACAATTTGATAGTATATTCTCCAAGAGTCAACAGTCTATGGTTCCTACCGTGTCTATGCAAGTTATTCTTGTTATTAAAAATTTCCTATTTAATTAAATATCACAAAAACTAATGAAATAGAAATGGAAAGATAAGAGAACTGTGGTTTCTATGAATACTTAATTGAATGCTTTGAAAGACTTAATAAAGGTGATTAGCGGAAAAAAAAAAAAAAAGAGCTTGCACGGAGGTTCATGCCTGTAATCCCAGCACTTTGGGAGGCCAGGGCAGGTAGACAACCTGAGGTCAGGATTTCAAGACCAGCCTGGAAAACATGGCAAAATTCCATCTCTACTAAAAAATACAAAAATTAGCCAGGTGTGGTGGCACACACCTGTAGCCCCAGCTACTTGGGAGACTAAGGTGGGAGAATCGCTTGAACCTGGGAGGTGGAGGTTGCAGTGAGCCAAGATTGCTCCATTGCACTCAAGCCTGGGTGACAGAGCAAGACTCCATCTCAAAACAAAACAAAAACAAACAATAAAACAGTGCTGTTGAATTAGATATAGGTAAGATATCTGTTTAAGATTGGGTATGACGGATAGAATCCCAAAAAATTGGAGGTATTTTGCATTAAGATTATTTCCAGCATCTCCAAATATGACTGTACTTTA